ACCTGACCATCCTTTCAATCTAATAGACACAGGAGACCAGAAAACAAAAGCACAACAAGACAGGTGCCTCCTGTTCCCCTAAAGCCAGCCTTACACCCAGGCTTTATCCTCATTAAGTCCTGCTTAGTGGTAGCCTAGTGAGCTCTGGTGCCTGCTGATTCTAGAAGCAGCGGCCTCCAGGTACTTCTGGACAAGGAGACACAGCAAAGAGGCAAGGGTAGGATTGTATTCTGATCTCTCAGCAGATTCACTCAAGGGAAGTGGTGGAGCAGGGGTGGTGAAAAGTCACATTTATTTTGGAGCTTAGAGACTCTGTTTTCACTGGCAAGGAGACAGGTGGGGTAACAGAAGACAAACACTCAGACCAGCCCAGACGCAGGGAAGCCACTCGTGTTTCAGGATAGGGCGGGACAGGTGGGAACATGAGGATTCATTCAAGAGGTTTGAGAAAAGCCCTGCGGGTCTCCTGAACTGCGGCTCCGGCTCCCGCAAGTTACAGGAGCCCTGAAGACGAGGTAAACAGTCGGGTGGGGGGTTCCCACGCATTCCCTCTGTCTGCAGGAGGCAGATCTCAGGTCACTGGCTGGAACTTGGCCCTTTGCCCTGGAGGCAGAGGGCAGTTCGAGGTGAAAGAGATGACAATTCACAGGGCGCCGTGGGTGGGATTCCTGCGTGGTGTGGGTGAATTGGGTGTACCGACCCGACCCGCAGTGTCCTCTCTGGGACTGGGAAATGATTTCTTTTCACTCCAGTCTTGAGTTCTTGTTAAGATGCAAATTCAACTGGGAAGGGCAATGCTAAGAGCACCAGGCATTTTCAGCAAGAACTGCAGATCCTTTTGTGAATCAGGTTCGGAATCTCAGGGGCGCAACTGAAAATGTCCCTACTTAAGCCCCACCCTGGGAGATTCTGACTGAGAATGGAACTTGGGCACCTGCAACTCCAAAAAGCCTGTTCAGCGACTCCAAGGTGCACCCCAGCTGAGAATCCCTGTGACGGGGGTTGGAGAGAGAAGACATAGTGGGCCTGGAGGGCCTGGAGAGGTTCTGTCACAAGATAGCCAAGTTATTTCACCTCCTTCCAAAATGTGTCTCCACATGATGTAGAGTCACCCAGTCGAAAGGGAAGCTCGGAGTGTGGAGCAGTCTTGCTGTCAGAAGCTGGGGGTGCTGTCACTCTCAGCTTCTCCAGCAGGGGTGGCAGGTTCCGGGGAGAACAGCCGTGTCCCAGGGGCAGCTGGGAACCTGCTGGGCTGCTGCCCACAGTTTCAGGGACCGTCACCCGACGGGGCACTTAGTGACCATGTCCGCTAACCCCTTCAGTGAGGAAAGTTGCTTTAGATGGTCCCTGTGTGTAAGGGGAGGTTATGGGCAGAGTCTTGGCCAAATCCAGGGGACCCAGTGTTCTTCCTTTCCGTGCAAAGGCATCATGGGAGGCCCATGGCGGGTGGGCAGAGCTGGCCTTCCACGAATTTGGTATGCGAAAAATTTTGCAATATCTTGGTGGAAACATCCGCCCGAAAATTCACAGGAATAACAGGTGGATCTGAGATATACACACCTGAGGTGAGTTCTCTGAATAATAAGATGAAAAAAATGTGGAAATGAAAAGGTATAATGAGATACACATAACTGAAGGGAATTGTCTTAAATGGCTGATTGTAATGAGATGCACATAAATTGTAAGGCTTGTAATGAAATGAAAAAAATCATATTCTTGCCTGATAATACTGGGTGTAATGTCTACACCTGAAATAAGTCGTCTCAGTGCGTTGAGTGTAATGAGATGCACATAATTTTAAAGAGTGTAATGAGATGAAAAATAAATCAAACACTTGTCTTAAAATGAAAGATGTACTAAGATGCACACACCTGAAGGGCATTGTCCTAAATGGGTTCAGTTTAATAAGATGCATTTAATTTGCAAAGGGGCTAAATGAGATTGGCCCAGAGAGAGGCTGAGAGATGTAAAAGTATAAGATACACTTGAAAGTGGTATAATAAAACCTGCTTCATATCTGGTATGGAAATAAAACGCCAAAGTGGAAATACACAGAGTATGAAGTGATAGATGTTCTCTTTGTCAGTCCTCGGTGCTCTGTCCCTTGGCCTGGGAGGCTCCGCAAAATGCATTGTCCTTTGTTCCCAGTATGATGCCAGGCACATAGTAGGCACCTAGAAATGCTTACTGAGTAAATAGCTGGCTCAGAGGATTGTGATCTATCTGCCAAAAGGAAGTTAAAGGAGCAGCTATAAAGCAAGGAACTTCAAAAGACAGTTGGAAACTATTTTCTGGGAGCAATGTTCCTCGAAGTCTTCAGGTGTCCTGCCCAACGGTCTGGTGGTGGAACCTCGTCTGCGTCTACAACAAGCAACTCTGGTGATGTTTCTGCCTCGAGGCCCGTGATGACCTACAGAGGCCAGGTAGGCGGGTAACATGTGAGTGAAGGTATCTGGATGTGAGACACAGGCACACTTTGCAATGAAAGGCAGGAGTATCTTCGCTTCCACAAAAAAATGCCTTCTCTCCAAAATTTTGTTTCCAAGGCGGGGCTCTCCCTCTTGGACCATCCATCTTGTCTTCTCACTCTTGATGGAGTAACGGGTAGAGAGAACTGTTTCCCTTCTTCAAAACAACCAATTGGACATTAGAGGGAAAGGGAAAGAAAGGTGGAGGAGGGGAGAAGCGTAACTAGCCAACCAGCCACCAGTAGTGACAGCCCGGTAGCAAATGCAATGCCCCCTCAGCCCCAGTGCTGGGGAGACCACAGGAGTGGCGAATGTCCAGCTGACCCCGAGAATGCGCCTTAGGGAGCAGTGATTATTCAATGCGCCCCTTCGTGGCCGTGACGGAATATGGGTCCCGAGTTGCCTGATGGCCCAATTTTTCAGGAGAAACCAGGAATCTGATATTTTAATGTCCAATCCTCTAACTTTTAAATGTTGGCAAAATATTTTAAAAAACAATATATCGTCCAAACAAAGCATATCTGCAAGCGGAATTTGACCCAAAACATCACAGTCAACCTGACAGCCTCCTGTTTGCAACTGTGGATGATAAAATCTGAGACCGTGGTGCTCAGCACACAGGCATGTCACGAGCTCACTTTCAGGCTCGGTCTCTTTCTGCTAGAATGTAAACCCCCTGAAGCCGAGGCCTTTGTGTTTGTCAATCAGGGTTGTATCCTGGCGAACTGCCTGGGACAGAGTTGGCGCTCAGTACACGCGTGCCGAGTGCGTGAACCACTCACGGGGAGCGAGTCAAGAGGCTGCAGTACGGCTGAGTCGCGGCCCTCATCCGCCGCACGCAGGGCAGCGGGGAGGCTCCCTGGTCAGGACTTTAGCTCTGGCCAACCCCCACCAGCAGGATCTCCGAACCAGAAAGGTCTTCCCTGATGGGCTGAGCGTTGGGGACAGAAATCAGTCTGAGGAGTTTCCAGGGCCCCAAATGAGTTCCATTTTGGGGTAAAGCCCTCCCCTACCCCTCACCCTTTTGTTCCATCTCTAGCATTTCCGCAGGGACTATGGCGCATCTGCTCCTTGGGTTGGGCGGCATTTTCGTCATGCACAGAGGGAGGCTGCTGTTTCCTCGAAACACAACCATGTACATCTGGAACCATGTAGGAAACCCCTTTTCAGTTGGCAGCATGGTGGAAAGATGACAGAACTCGATAGAAAAATTAGGCATGGGCAGGGGAGAGACGGGGACAGGCTACTCTATAATTTCTTTAGAATAATGTTCCCTAAAGTATGTTTTGTGGAATACTGGATATCACCTGAATAGAAGGGGTTGGGCAAATAAATCTGGAAACAGCTGAAACAAAGTTAAACAGGTTTCTTTCCTGCAGGACTTTTCAGAGCCTTTAGTATACTAATGCACATTATTAAATTCTACCAGCGAAATATAATGTGCAGTTAACCTTCGGCTAATTTGAACATGATTTTTTTTTTGTATCATATTTTTTCAACAGCGTGTTCCTTAGAAACCACTGCTTTAAAAGACTAGTCCTTAGAAAGACTTCGATGCATGTAAATAAAAAAAATAAAATAAAAATAAAAGACTAGTCTTCTTGACTCTGGGAGGTGAGGTGCTAACGTATCATCTTCTTGTGTACTTGAGACTTTCTCCATCTGCCTATGGAGGGGTTTAGAGAGTTGGTCTAGGGAGTGATGGGGGTGGCTCTGGAGGCCAGAGACTCAGGGAACTCCACCAGAGCTGCTTGGGGCCCGCTTTGTCTGCCCCTTGCCCATCTTCCGCCTGGCCACAGGGGTCCACCAGTGAGTGCAAACTCTCCAGCCTTCGTGAATGTGAACAAGGACCTCCCCTCCTGCTTCTAAACAGATGCCCTAGACATCTCAGCAACACTGCCCAGGTAAGGAAACCTCTGGACTGAAGGTGGCCCAGACACCTACCTCCCCGTTCTGTGGGGAGATGAGCTGCCCGGGAATTGCTTCTTGCTCAGGGGATGGCGGTGCTGACCCTGGGGTTCAAGGGCAGGCTCCCCGACACAGCTCCAAGATCGCCTCTCCCTACCTGTCCCTGGGGCTTTTCACCTGTGGGGGAGGGGGAGGGGCATATGGAGGGTAGGGTGGGGCCGTGGTGGCACAGGCTTTGAGGATGATGACTCGGGGACCTGGGATGGAGAGGGGAAAGCAAAGGCCTTTGAGAGAGGTAGAGTATGGTGGAAGAGAGGGACCAAATTCCGTGCTCTCCGCTGCGGTGGAGGAATCGCCAGGAGAGGGCGGTAGAGAGCTTCTTCTGTCTTCTCTCCCGCATCTGTCTCACAGCTGGCCGCACACCAGGTAAGTGTGCCACACTTGCTGTCGTCCTCCCCAGACAGGCCAACCGAGGCCACCCAGGAAGCCCATCTGCCTTCTCCTCTTCCCTGGGTAATCGGGTGTATGCTGAGGCCTCCAAATTTTGTCTGTCCAGGGTCCCACTAAGGGAGGAAGGGACCCCTCCCTACAGCAGCCACAGAAAAAGAAAATTGTGCACCAGAATTATGGTAGGTAATAAGATTTACTGAAAACTTCTCGGCCACATTCAGTACTGGTTTGGTGGATACATCAGAAGGAGGTTGCATAACATTAGGCAGGTGGAGGGGGCTGGGAGGAAGAGAGGTGGGCACGTGTGTGCGGTGTGCCTGTGCTGGGGACACCTGTCAGGGTGGTGAGTGGAAGGGTGTGTGTGTGTGTGTGTGCGCGTGTGTGTTTTAACAAGGAAAACGAACCAGAAAAGGAAATGCATTTTATCCCACTGCACATTGCAAAAGTCTCACGCCAAAAAAGCCAGACTTTCCTCTACCTATGGCATCAAAAGGGAGTAAAAAAATGATTGGATCACCCAGATTATAAATAAGGTTATTTGTTTCTCAAAAATCCTTATTAAAACATTAAATATCAGCTCTTTTGGGGGAGAAATACATTCATTTCAGGGACACCTCAGGAAAGCGGCCATCCTTTTGCTCCGCCCCAACCAGGTGGGGGAGGGGAGGCCTCAGAGGGCCCTGAGGGTCCCCTCCAGTTGAGCCAGGTAGCCACTCACGTGCTGCCACTGAAGGAGATGGCTAATGCACAATTTACAAATGAAACTGCACGTCCATTAAATTAAACCCAATGGAAAACACACATGTGATCAGTCCTGTCATTCACAGCCATAGGGGCGAGAGGGAATGGGAGGAGGGGTGCCAGCGGGGGGGGGGGGTCTGGAAGTTGAGGGTGGAGTGTGTATCAGGGCAGACCGTGGAGGGCCGCCGCCTCCTCCCGGGAGCCCACTCCCCAGTGCTGTGGGTGGCGGTGTGCGGAGCGCGAGGCAGGTGGGGTGGGGCACCCCGCAGGTGCCTGGGTGCCCTCTCGGGGCCCTCCCCCACATCAGGATATTGATGGGAAAAGGGATGTAGCACCTTCTTCAACCCCTGGCTTCCCACTGGGCTGGATGTTTCTTTCCCGTATTTCTCCCGCCTTCTCCGAAGGATGGGATGAGGAAGGGAGGCTGGAGGCCGATGGAGCCGGCCCGGGAGCAGGCGGCGGCCTCTGGGATGGTGCGGAGTCCCGCTGGCCTGGCCGCCCTCTGCAGGTCTGTGAAGGGGGTGGGACATCTGAGGAGCTCCATCCGAGGGCGGGAACATCTAGGGTAAGACACCATTGTCCTGTTATAGGAGCTGAGTTCTGTGACCGCCAAAGTCACCGTGCTATGGCTCCTAGCCCAGGGTCTGTCATCTCTTTGGCTCCTGGAGCCAACCCAGGTGAAGGGACTCCTCTTATCCTCTGATGGGCCGAGCCCACCAGCTTACAATGTGTTTCCGGGAGAGATGAAGGAGGCTCGCTGGCTGCCATCCCTCTCTTGCAAGTCCACGGTGCTGTGACCAGGGGCAGGGCCTCGGAGCGAGGCTGGGCCCTGTGGACTCCAGGTCCCACTGTGATCTGCAAGATGGGACGCCTCAGGCCCTCCCACCCCTCTGCCCACTGGTTATGCTTTTGGGCTCCCTCCTGCCCTTGAATGTCTCTCAAAGGAGCTGAGAACCTTCTGGAGATGGAATCAGTCCCCCTTTGTCTCTCCCTTTCCTCCCCAGTCTGGCCCCTGGCAAAGGCCCACTCTGCGAACAGCACCGATCCGCCTCGCAGTGCAAGGCTTGTGAACAACTCAAATCCTTCCATGGGGGGCCCATGGGTGCCATCTGTCCTCAGGGATTGGGTGAGTCCAGACATCACTCCCGTCTTTCCATGCAGGCTGCCTGACTGGCCCCGCCAAACAGAGTCCTCCGTGGTTCCAGGGAAGTGGGGCTGGGTGCTCGTGGAAGCTTGGTGGTTGGGAAGGAGCACGGTGTCTCCTCTGCATTTCTTCAAGCTGCTGATTTTGGGAAGCTAGGGCCCAACTTCCTCGGTGCTGCCTGCCCGCGTCCCCTTCCCCCCTCCCCTGAAGCCCTCCCGACAACACTCCTCTCCTGCTCGGTGGTCAGTGCCATCTGGGCTGCCCGGCTACTCCAGGGAGTCACTGTGTTCCAAGCCCAGGTCGCTGACATTCGTCGTCTGCAGCTCGTCGGCCTCCTCCTCCAGCTCCTCCTCCTCCTCCTCTTCCATCTCATCCTCATCCTCTTCTTCTGTCCCATCCAATGAGTCGTCATGTGCGGCCATCATAGCCTGCTGCATGGCCACGGTGGCGTTGTCTGAGGACAGGGACTGCAGGTTGTCCAAGCTGATGGAACCTGCATGGGAGGAGACAGGGTCAGGCGACACAGGCGCTGGCTCACGGGGTGGTGACTCCTTGCTGCTGAGGCCGCCTGAGCCTGGGCTGGACAAGTCCTTGGTAGGAAGTGTCCCATCCATCCTCTAGCCAGCCTCTCTCCGCCCCGCCCGGAAGCAAGACTCCTAGCTCCCACTTACTGCACATTCGCTATGTAAACATGCTAGATGCTTTCGACTTTGATGATTCTGTGAGCAGGTGTGAATATTATCCTCATTCTAAAGAGGAGGAAACTGAGTCTCTAACAGTTAAGTCATTAGCTCAAGGTGACACAGTCAGCAATCTGAGATTCTTTCCTAGGTTGTTCTAGCCCGAAAACTGTTTATTTCCACTGTACCTCATACGACCACGGCCCATGATATGGGAACTGTGCACAACCACATACGTCCATGCATGCATGAGTGCGTTTGCACAGTGCACACCTCCACCTCGCTTCCCACACAGAGCTATCTTCACGTGCCAAGCTATAAAATGTCTGGCTCATTGAATTATTCATTGTGCATTAGGCGACTGGCAATTAGAAAAGTGTATATGGAGGGTGTGACGGAGAGGCTGGGAAAACAGAGCTCTTCCTGGCCTCCGTTCACAAGCCAGCTGCCTGCCTTGATATTTATAGATGGCCTTGGCTCTTGGGCGCTGTGCAGACGCTGACTGGTGCTGGGGAACTCGGGTGGGTGTGGGTGTGAGGAGGGGGCTCTGCTGAGCAGTCACCGACCTGGATGACCACCACCTTTCACTTGTCTTGTGAGATTGCTTTCGGCTTGTTAAAACATGTGCAAAAGCATCCCCCTCTTTAAGGCTTTGAAGGGGGGCTGGGAGGGGTAATCACTGTGACAGGGCAGCGACTGGGGCCCAGTGGGCAGACGGCCAGCCTTGGGTCTTTGCACGGCCTGACCTGAAGGAGCTCCAGGAGCCCCCGCCAGCCCGTGCCCAGGGTGCGCCAGCCCCAGTTCTTACCATCAGGGTTTGTCCCCGGGGCGCCGCCCTGCTGCTGCAGCACGCCCGCAGCAATGGAGTTGGGCCAGAATCTTTGGGTGGGCCGGTGCTGAGACTTGATCTTCTTGGCTTTGGGCGCAGGGTCTGGGTTGCTGGCATCAAGCATGGGCTGCAGGATACGCCTCCGGGCGTTGATGAACCTGCCCCAGGGAAATGGGGGAGACCTGGTTAGTCACCACCTGGGTGGCGTTGGGGCAGTGGCAGAGAGGGCCAAGCTGCTTCCAACTCCACTGTACAGAACGGACGGGGTTCCGGCCTCGGAGAGGGGCCCTGGGTCCTGAGGAGTGCATGAGATCACCTGGGGCTTGGTAGCCCCAAAGTGGCATGGTAAGAGCACGTGAGGAGGGGTCAGAAATCCCTGCTCCAGACCTACCAGGATGGAACAGAGGAGGACAGAGCCGTAGTCATGGGCTCTGACTTCTCTGCAGAGCACTGAGGGCTCAGACCAGGGACCCCGACCCTGGAGCCCTGAGCTCACTCCCACCCGGCCAGACCTGGCTCTGAGCTCCCTGTCACAGCCCAGCCAGACACAGAGAAGGGGAAAGCGGAGCCCCTGGTGGGCCTGGAATAGCGGCCCTTCCTCCCCTTCCCACTCCCAGCTTTGCAGAATGTTTGCATTTCAGTCCACAGGGGGGTGGGGTAGACCAGATGACCTCTGGCAGCACCTCCAGTCCACAGATGCAGGCATTCCTGTTTGTCCTTGCAGCGCAGGTGGGCTGGATGCTCAGGTGGGGTTGGGCTTTCTATTCAGCCAGAAGCTTCCAAGGAAGCGCCTGACAGAATGTCCCAGCAGAGGGCGCTGAGCAGCTGCAGATGAAGCTACAGGTGCTCGTGCTGATTCTGGCTCTCTGCTTCTAGCTCACATGGGAGGATGGCATGGTAGCCGGGCAGAGACTGAGACAGATCTGGGCATTCTAGTCTCTTTTCCCTGCTCTGCGTCCCCCTGCCAAGCACGTGGCCCCTGGATCTGAGAGTCTTGAGCAGGTGATGCTCGAAGTCATTATAAGTTATAACATGCTCACCAGTTATTTACTTGCAGGAGGGTGAGGTTGGTCTGGGCTGCGATCTGCCTCTTCTCATCCTCCGTGGGGTAGGGGTGCTGAAATGAGAGGTGAAGGGCTAATGAGGGCTGGGCACATGGTGGCCTGGTCCCCCTAGAGGCTGTGCCCACGTTAGGGGCACTCTCCTGGGCCAGGCAGCCCGAGGGGTTTGGGAGCCCAAAGTAGGGAAAGTGTCATGTTTGTTCCCCAAAGAGCATGGGCCCGGCGCTTGGAGGAGGGCTGCCCCATACCTGAGACCCCACATTCAGGGCCACTCGGCCCTCGGCCCAGCCCCCACAATGGGGGGCCCGGGTGGTCTCCCAAGAGTCAGTAGTTCATACTGACAGCTCCCCAGGCCCATCCTTCCCGAGTGACCCTCACCGCTGCCCCCAGCAGGCGGGGCAAGCAGTGCCAGTGTTAGGGTTGTCCACGGCCTCAAAGGCCCGCAGAAGGTGGCAGGTGGGTGACTGGATCAATTCAGTTTAAATTAACTGATATTTACTGACTATCTACTGTGCATCCAGATTTACCCGAGGCCTTCCTCGGAGAGAGAAGTACAGTGGTACAATGGTACAGAAGTACAGTGCTACTTGCACAATACTCTGTAGCCTGTAAGATGCTGTCGTGCACTGAGGTTCATTTAATAAAGCACATCATTAGGACTTTTAGGCAGGTTCGGTACTGCTATTCTCCCTTTACAGATGAGGAAAATGCATGACTTCTCCAGTGCCACCCAGACAGCAGCACCAGCTCAGTTCTGATCTGGCCCAGCCTTTCTCCCATGGTTTCATGACGTCACTTTGTAAGACCGGGTGAGGGTGCGGGACCGAGCGTGCGGGTTCTGCCCCAGGCCCCGGCACACTGCAGCCCGGGCTCCGAGCACGTGTGTGCTCTCTCAGATCGTGCTTCCTGAGGGCCTCAGTGTATGCTGATTAATGTGTCCCGGTGCCTGCCACCTACAAATGACAGATACCTGCTGAGTGAAAGAAAGCAAACGCCAAGCACTAGAGGCTGAGGCCTGGAGGATGAGCACCATAGAGGCTTAGAAGGAGGAGAAATGCATGCTGTCCAGAGCAGTGGGGATGGCTGAGCAAGTCACACGAAGGAGTGACAACGTGTTGGGTGGCAGTGGGAAGAGGGTCCTGACCCCATCGGGTGTGAGCCAAGTACATCTCTGGCTCTTTCTCAGGCCCCAGCCCGGTGCCTGGCACCCAGTGGGTGTGCAGTACCTGAGTGGGTCTGAGTTTTGTCCTGGAAACTAGGGGAGATTTGGGGGTTCTTTGGGTAGAGGACTGAGCTGTCCAGCACCCTCAGGCCAACACCCATTCCTTTTGATCAGGGTGGTATCAGAAAGAGGAGCTTGGGCTACCTAACGTCCCAGAGACAGGGACTCGCAATCTGGCTCTGTCATGACTAGCTGAGAAATTGTGGTCATGTCACTTAACCATATGTCATGAAGTCACCTAACAAATACATGAAATTATACTTGCGAAGTGCTCAATAAAAGGCAGCTCTTCATGCTATTATTATCGAGCGGTGCCAGCCAGGAGCTTAAGGCTCTCTAAGGAAAGGGTTTGAGATCCACAGCCTCGGCTGCACTCTCACTACCAGTGACAAAGGCGCAACCTCTTCAGCTGGCCTCGGCACCCCCTGACTGAGGCAATCGGGATCATGTGTTGTTTTAATCCCCACCTCTGACCCTGACCGCCACGCCAGGGCAGCCGGGACTTGTGATTCATGCAACACTGAGATGCTAACAAGAAGGAAAGCACATCAGTGATACAGGAGCCAATTGCACTCTAAGTGTGACGGAGCAGAGGGAGGGTGGGGCACAGTTGCAAGCCCAGGGGCAGAGAGGCAGGGACTCTGGGAGTTCTGACACCTCCTGGGGACAGGAGGGTGCCCAAACCCTACCCCTAGCTGCATGGAGTTCCAGCCTCCCTATTGCTGGGAAGGAGCCAAGCAGCCTCCTTGTCCATGGCCAGCTGGTGTGTGGACAAAATATGGCAAAAATATGGAGCCTTTTTGGCCTTCCCGGGCCCCACCAGGCGCTTTCATGCCTGATGCCTTTGCACATGCTGGCGCTCCGCTGCAAGGCTCCTCCGCCCACCTTTCCACGGCTTGCTTGGCCGAGCTTCTGTGCAGACCTGTCACAGACCCAACCCTCCGCGAGGCCTTTCCCAACTCGCCCAGGCACAGGCAGTTGCTGCTGCCTCTGAACGATTGCTTCCTGCCCCCTGGATGGTAAGTTCTGTCTCCCCCACCAGGCACCCACTGCTCTCCGGCAGGGACCTGTCTTATTGGATGGACATTGTTTATCTCCGGCATCCAGACTGGTGACAGGCAAAGAGGTCATGTTCAACGACCATGTCGGGAACGCTGAGTGCACTGACACAAGAAGGAGATGCAGACTTGTTTCCTGAGCAGAGCAAGGCTGGATTTTCTGGCCGTGCTGCTCCACCCACCCATAAACGCTGGGGACCTGCTGCATCCTGCGTGCTGGCAGTGAACGACGTCTGAAGTTAAGAGCTCACAGCTTAGATGGAAAGGAAGAAAAGGGGGAGAACCCTCTATAAAAGGGCAGTGTGTGCGAATTACCCCTTGGTGGTAAGAGAAAGAAGTCCCCAGGGAGGAGGGACTTCAGCTGAGCTTTGAAGAATGGCCCAGCCATTCTAGTGGAGGAGAGATGGGCGCTCCAGGCAGGAGCCTTGCTCTAGGACTTATATTTCAGCCAGGCAGATGAAAACCTCTCCCACTGCTAAAGGCCTCCGGGAAATCCTCCGGCCTCCCCTGGAAGGATAACGTTTGCTGACTCTAAGGAGGCTTCTGTGGGGGCCCCCGTTCTGAGTGGATGTCACGAACACACAGCTTAACACGCTGCCCCCTAACGGGAGCTGTAAGAGGCAGTGTTGCCAAGCACAGGCTGGTATTCTCTTGGCAATAATGATATAAAGTCCTTACCATTCCCTAGCACAAGTCGCCACCTCCTCTCCCTCCTGGAACCAGTGTCTCAGGAGGCACGTGGTGGAGGCCATGGGGTGAGCAGCAGCATTTAGCCCGGCCTTGGGGACAGGTGTGTCCGCCAGAACATTCCTGGCACCACATCTGAGTGCTCATGGGAGCCGTCCAGCTTGTACACGCGTCAGACCACATGATTCCTAAGGATAGAGTCAAAATAGTCCTGGCTCCTGGACAGGCCGCGATTGGGTCAGTGCTACTTTTTTAGCACAACTGGAAAGGCATGGGGCCAAGGACGGGAAAAGGAATCAAATGAGATCATGGCAAACCACCAAGCCCTAGTAGCTGCTCTCTAATCATTATTTGGAGAAACTCCCCTAGAGTTGGAGGGAAGGGTGGATGGTGGCTCTCTGGAAGCAGACAACTCTTGCTTGGGAAAGAGGTGCAGCACAGACCAGAAAACTACAGATCCTTCTCAGGGCCAGCCTGAAGCCTCGCGCACGAGGCATGCTGCCTGGCGGTAAGGAGCCTTTGGAGGGGGGTCAAGTCCTGACCCCCCACTTGGCAGCTGTGTGGCCTTGTTGTTTTATGTCTTCCATCCTGAGCTTCCTTGGCTTAAGGTGGAAATAGCAAAATAGTGCCTACCCCTTGGACTTCGGGGACAGATTCATGAGATAATGCAGGATAGACACGTGTGTGCTAACTCGTCCTGTGCAATGTGTTCAAGCGCCCCAGATGCCATCTAGTTGAATACATGAGGTCTCCAGAGAAGGGAATTGTGGTATTTACAATACATTAAGTAGGTGTTTCACAGCCCCATAGTTGCCACTGGGAAGTTCCTTTGAAATCTAACCTGAACTCTCTCCCACCTCTCCCGGGCACCTCTTCTATAGCCCGTAGCTCCAGTCTCATCTGGGTTGAAAACTGATGCTGAAGACACCTTTCAGGTGGAAGAGTGAGTTCTGCCCGGGACCTGGGTAAGAAGGAAGCTGAGCCAGTGCAGGTCCCTAGGTCCCCAGCCACTTCTTTCACACTGAGCCACTGGCCATTGTCCTTCCACCTCCTCACCCCTGCACCATGAGGTGGCCAGGTCACCGAGGGTCGTTGTCGGCAGACCCTGTGCTGCGGTGGAGTGGGGCTTGGTGCGGGCTCAGCTCAGTGAGCCTCCACCCACTTTCCTGCCGTCGCCAGCACTGCACCGAGCCCACCGGACCCTTCGTCCCTTCTCCTCACTCCTGACAGCCGTGGGGCCGGGTCTGGGGGCCACCACTCTGTGGGCGTGGTGCCACTCTAGGAGTGCCACGGGGCCCACCCCAAGGGAGGCAGCCAGCACAGCGAGGGGCCCTGAGCCTCTGCATTCCACCACATCCAGGATGCCACCAGTGGGGGGACGCACCCTGATCTCAGAGGTGCCTTCTGGAATGAGGAGGAGCACTTATTGTCACCCGGGGATTGCTCGTTCCACTGTGATTTGCCCTCATTCACACCTTCCATTCTTTTATTTTCTCTCTCATTTTTACCCCTGCCCCCCCTTTAAACTTGTGCATATCCAGAAAAATACAAAGGACTAAAATGCTTAGCTTTACATATTGTCACGAATCAAACGCCCATGTAACCACCCCCAGGCCAAAGAGTAGGATAGACCAGCACCCCGGGACCCCCTCCTGCTCCCTCCCAATCACCTCCCCAAAGCTCACCTGACCTTTACGGTAATTACTTTCTTGCTTTTCTTTATAGTTTCGCTATCTGTGTTACATCCTTAAAGGTGACAGCTTAGTTTTGCCTGATTTTTGAACTTTATGTAAATGCAATCATTTGTCCACTGCTGTTCTGTGTAACGGCAGCTATTTATTTTCATTGCTGTATAGTTTTCCACTGTGAGAGTCGGCTGCCCTCCCAATTCTCCACCTTCCTGCAGCCTCAAAACTATCCTCTCTCCCTCTGGTTTCTATTTCAATCCATCCCTCCCAGTGCCAGCGAGACTGGTTCTACCTCCCCCATCCCCACCCCTCCTTAAGGTGAGCCAGTTCGGATGCCCTTCCTAAGAGCCCTAAGCACTTGCCCTGCCCGGGAGTCTGCACACTGCAGGGTGATCTGTTTG